ACTGTTGGATAGACCTCCAAGACAGACTCTTCAGCAACTCAGAGCAGAGCACTACCTCTGGCAGGACACCAATGTGGCGCTATCTAACGATGCCAGACTACTGTTGGATAGACCAGTCACGCTGGAGGAACTAACCGAAGCTCTGAAATCCATGGCAAAGGGGAAGAGTCCTGGTTCTGATGGCCTACCAGCGGAGTTCTACACGGCAACATGGGAGTACACCGCACCCATCCTAGCCAAACTGTACAATCATATTCTTGAGGGTGGCTCACTGACAGAGGACATGAGAATGGGAGTGATTACCCTGATCTACAAAAAAGGCAACAAGCGGAACATACGGAACTTCAGACCAATCTCGCGGCTCAATGTCTCCTACAAGCTACTGGCCAAGCTCCTCGCTAGAAGAATGGTGCCTTTCCTACCGACATTGATTCACATGGACCAGGGCGCCTTCGTGCAAGGGAGAGCAATCGCAGAGAACATCTTTGTAGCAATGGGAGCCTTGTGATGCTCAACCTCACGCCCTGCGCTCCTTCCCGGTCGGAGCGTTTGGATTTGCGGAAGGGCCCCGGGAGGACCGCGAAGATGGGGTGTGCCAAGGATTTTTGGAAAAGTTGTGTGTGGGAACACAGACAGAAATGAAATCCCCCGTGTTGGCCCGATGTTAATAAGAAGGAGGTCCGTCGCCGCGTAGGTTTACGGGAGGAAAAGGCGCGCGCAGGACTCGTGGTTACAGGAAATTCAATCCAAAAAGTATCGTTGAACTTCCCAGCGAGCCATCGCTCTTCGTTTCGCGTGAAAGGGGGCGGGTACACACGTGGTATCCCGTTTACGGATGAGGTCCCGTCGGCGCTCGTTACACAACTCCGAATCCGCCGTGGAGGGCTTCAATCGAGCAGCCCTTTCCTTATGCTCGTCGTCGCCACATGTGTGGTAGTGGAAACCCTTGGCTCGGTAACGCTCGAAGCGGCGACAATCGCTGCACAAAGTGTTAGGCCAATGAGGCTCTACTGTCGTCCACGGGACAACGATCGACTCGTTAAATGGCAACAACAACAAATGGGGCGGAAAGTGCGTATCAACAATAACAAAACCTGCACCGACGAACCCAGAACACCGAGTTTCAGGAGGAAAGTAGTAGCGCCCTCCGATCTTCGCGACAACTTCTCGTACGTCCCACTCGCATACACGTATCCTTTCCTCGTTGTACGGGAAGGGGCGTGGCCAGGGCACGAAAAGTTGGCGCCCGGTCAGGTTGAGGCCGTCAGTCCACATGGCAACAAAAGCAAGTACAAAACAATTTTTTCTTAATCATACATCATTCGTTCGACACTCCAGGCAGCCAGATCATCCAGTCGATCAGCCAATCATCCTCCCAATCATGCTACAACAAGCTCTCTAATACAACCCACTGCATGCACATATCAAACTGAAAGAAGCAAAGTTACCATAATTCATCCATTATAACATAACATGACAGAAAGAGAGAGTGAGGGAGACCATACGCAAATCAAAGGGGGAGGAACGAGTTGAAAGCAATCACAGAATGTCCGACGATCTTGTACAGGGAAATTTCGGCTTCAAAGTCGAGTGATCAGAACTCACGCTCGCAGATACAAATTTTGGGACAAAAGAGGCACTTCCGTCATAAAATTCCACGATGGCCCCAGGCCATGCACTCACTCACTTCCGATTCGAACTTCTCACAAGCACTGATGATCCCAACCGCCACGTGTTAATCCCCATAGCGATCGTCACCCCGCCAACTTAGTCTCTACACGGTCTCGCCTGGATCCCACAGATCGTCGGGCGATCCAGTGCTCCGCGGCCAAGGCTACAGTCAGCTTGTGGGGACTTTTCGACTCACACCTGCCCACATACCACCTAGCCACTGCTTCCCGGAAGCTGGCTGATGAGTCGAGAGAGAGATTTTTGGGAGTGCTTGCGGAATTTATAACTGCGGAAAAGGAGATAGATGCTAGGAAGGGTTAGGACTGAGGTAGGGAGGGGTAGAGGCAGGTTCAGGGACACTCGCCTGACGAAAGTCATGTCGATCCTTTGGATCGCAGTTATAGCCAATCAGAATCGTCGTGTATCAAAAATTGCCTTCTTACACGGCCGTCTCCTTGGCTAGAGGGAGTGAAGAGGGAGTCGACATAGTATTTTGGCGCGAGGATTGGAGCGGGAAGAAGAAGAGCGCAAAGAATAGCGCGAAACGGAACCAAGATTCAGACGACCAAGAAAGAGAAAAGGTGTGCAAGGCAAAGGAGAGATGGAAAACAGTTACAGGGAGAGAAGGAGCGTGAGCGAGAAGAAGAGAGTGTTTTAGGTAGCGAGGGAAGCGGGGAGGGGGGGGTCGCATGCATGGCGCCGACGCGAAGGCAAAAAGGGCACCGAAACAGTTACAACTAATTTAAATTGGAAAGTATCATATCCGCACGTAGAGCGAGCGCGGGAAAAAGTCTTGTACCTGTTAAGATTCCTATGAAAATTCCCAGAGTTTACGAAGACGAATTCGAAAACATTAATACACAAGAAAATACACTTTAGGTTTC